GCTAGGTAAGCAACACCTATGTAACATATTTCCAAGAATAATTTTGGGTGCTGAATCTCTAATGAACTTCCCTGATAGGAAATATTTCAAAATTAGTGTCATAATTTGATGCTAAAAGAGTAAAGTCTGTGAGCCTACGACTCCAATGAGAGGAGACTCTTGCATTTGGTTTCCTCCAGAGTTCCTCCCATGTGCCCTTTCCCCTTACCAATTGTGATTTGCACCCTTTCACTTACAGGCCACAGATATGACTATGTGGTAGAACCTGGACTCTTTCTAGTGAATCACAGGATCTGCTGGTTGTTTTGGGAATTTTTAGCAAAAAGCTTCAATGAAGTTATGAAACTTTTATGAAAATACCCACCTTCCTTTATACTTGTGAAAAGTCAATACTAACATTGCTGACAATCTTAATGAACTCCACAGCAGTCAACTATATAACTTTATATTTTATTCAGCTATTCACCCCAAACTTTTGTTTTTGTTCTCTTTAGTCATTTATATTTGCTATTTTATAAATTCTGTTAACTTTTGTGATTTTTTTACCTTTTAGTAAGTGTGCAACTGCATATAAAATTGTATACACTGCAACATTTTTTCCTAAATGGCTTCTTAAAATTTTAACATATTAATAATAACAGCTTTGACATATTTTTTAATATTCTTTCCGACTAATCATGCTCATATGTCAAGGTAAATATTTGTTCCGGATCGGGAGATAATGGCTTAGTGACACTTGCTTTACAAGCATGAGGAGCCATATTTGAACTCCCAGAACCCATAGAAAGCTTGGAGCACTAGCATGCATTTATAATTCCAGTTTTCTTACAGCAAAATAGGAGGTAAAGGCAGGAGAATTGCGAGACTCTCACTTATCTATGGATAAGGTATAAGACTTAAATATGTGCACAAAGCTGAGCAAACAGTCCAATTTTACTATGTTTCTCCTGGCTACTTTTTCGTAATTGGCATCACATACCTAGACATTCCAAGACAGTTTCCCTTTGCTTTAATCTAATATAACGTAGAGCCCCAAGACATAAACCAGGCATGGTAACTGGGGCAGGAAGATCACATCAACACAAGCTTGGGATACGTAGTCACACCATACCTCAAAAATTAAAAAAAGATGTGAAATATGGTGGCTCAGGCCTTTCATTTCAGCACAGAGGAGGCTGGGGTAGGAGGATTCCCACATTTTTGAGTACAGTTACTTCGAGGCAAGCCTGGACTAGGCAGTAAAATATTGTGTCAGGGTTACACCAACCCATTTAAGTTATGTTTCTGAATCCTTTCATGTGTATGATGCACATGTTAATAAAATTGCTCTCATTAAGCTTTCTTTATACTCTGTTACATATTAGGGGCCCCAATGGAAAACCTAAGATGTATTGAGGAGGACATTTTTCCCCTTTACCATTATTAAATACTAGTACATAAATTGCAACATTTCTCAGGCTGATGACCAGGGTTACTTAGGTAATCTAGCTGATTAGGCTGTGGTTACTTTCTCCTTCACTATTCTACCTAACTCTGTGCCTGCACCAAGTAATTGCTCAGATAACATTTCCTCAAAGGATAAAGGCATTCTCTTCCATAGACAGACATGTCTCTTAAACAACGCACTGCTTCTTGGAGAATGATTTTTAAATGGTATTTAATAGATGAAAATTCACTTACAAGCAGTATTATGTTTAACCATCACAAAATATCTTCCAAATATTGTTTACTTATTTTTACAAACATGGATACTATAGTTCAGAGTGATTTAATGACTTTCTTGGTCGGTTTTTGCCCCACAGAGAGTCTGTGTTCACAAGCCTAATCCTCTTTATAATTGGCCTGCAACTGTTAAGGGATCAGTCTTAGACTAATAAATGACTTGTTTTCTCATTTCCAGCCCTTAAGATTGCCTTTTGCCTTCTATGCTTTTGTTGAGATGAAACATTAGGATCTGAATTAGACTGAAAGAGAGGGAAAAATTTAGCTCCAAGTCTGTCTGCTTGGGTCTCTTTAAATGAGACTTATAAGAGAGAAACTAACAAAAGAAAAATAAATGGAAGTATATTAACATATATCCTGCAAATATTACACCTGGGATTACCCAGAGATGAGTAACTGAAAAGTTTGGTAGAAGGAATGTATGTTTACCGAGCAACTAAAGAAAGAATATAATTTCCTAGAGAAGATAAAGTAGAAGGCCATTGAGTCTTTTGAGGAGGAAAATTATAAAGAGGCAAAGTAACATTGGATGGTAGCAATCAGTAAACTCTGTTACATAAATTCTTCTAATACTGTCTTCAGGCTCACAGAGGACTAAAAGTACCTATGGTGAGAGAATGGAAAGGAAGGATATTATGCAAACTGTTTTTTCCTTGTGACAGAATAGCTGGGCTCATGGTGAGGCAGAATATCATAGCAGAAGAAGCATGTACCAGAGCCTATTTGCCACATGCCAGATAGGAGTGATCAGCAAGGGTTTGGGACAAGATACAGCATTAAAGAACATGCTCACAGTCACCAACTTCCTCCAGCTTGCTTCTGCTTCCTAATTTTCCCAGAGACCCTCAATAGGTGGGAACAATCATTACCCCTGTGGAGGACAATTTTTAGTCAAAGCATAACAAATGCATTTGTCAATTTATTTCCTGCTGCTAGGTAAATGTTATGGCTGAAATAATTTTGTATATAATTATTCTCACCTGCCTATAACTACAAATTGTCAGATACATACCTGTAAACACAACACATGGAAGACTGAGGTAAGAGTTAGTGAATTCAAGGATCTCTGAACTTCATAAGGAGACCCTGTTTTAAAAAATCTTTATGTTTGTGAGGCCACAGTGGCCCTCATACGTAAACCATAAAAAGATTTAATAAAGAAAGAGAATAAGAGACCAATATCCCTCATGTACATAGATACAAAACTACTCAATAAAATACTTGCAACCCAGTCCAAGAACACATCAAAAACATTATCCACCATGATCAAATAAGCTTCATCCCAGAGATGCAGGGAGTGTTCAATATACTAAAATTAGTAAAGGTAATCCTCCATAAGAACAAACTGGAAAAAACCTCACATGATCATTTCATTAGATGTAGAAAGACATTTGAAAAAATCTAACATCCTTCATAATAAAAGTCCTAGAGAGATTACGGACACAGACATACCTACACATAATAAAGGGAACTTATAGCAAGTCTATAGACAACACTAAATTTAATGGAGAGAAATATAAAACAATTTTAGCAAAATCAGTAACCCGACAAGGCTGTCCCCTTTTTTCATATCTGTACTTGAAATTCTAGCTGGAGGAATAGGACAATTAAAGGAGGATCAAGGGGATACAAATTAGAAAGGAAGAAGTCAAAGTATCATAGATGGTATGATAGTATGCATAAGAAACCCCAAAAATTCCACCAGAGAACTCTTACAACTAATACACACCTTCAGCAGAGTGGCTGGCTACAAGATTAACTAAAAAAGAAATCAATAGCCCTTTATACAAATGATAAATGGGCTAATAAAGAAATCAGGAAAACAACACCCTTCACAATAGCCACAAATAATAAAAAATATCATGGTGTAACTTTAACCAAACAATTGAAAGTTTTATATCACAAGAACTTTAAGTCTTTGAAGAAAATACCAGAATATGGAAAGATCTCCTAGGCTCTTGGATAGGGAGGATCACAATAGTAAAAATGGCTATCATATCAAATGCAATCTAAAGATTTGATGCAATCCCCATCAAAATTCCAAACATTTTTTACAACACAACAAATTCCCTTTATTTCGTATGCATCCACATTTCAACAATTAGTGTTCCTGAACACAGTGGAGAACGTGGCAACGAGCCAGGAGGCCAGGTCCATGGATCTGAAAACTGATGACACAGAGCTCCTCCATGACCCTGCGGAGGGTCTGAGGAGCAGCAACACTGAAACCTGAGTCTTTAGGGTCAGGGCCTCTGTTCCAGCTGTCGGGTTCCACGTCAGACTTGATGGGTGGCCAGGGAGTCCTGTCCAAACCACTACAGTGTGTAAAAGCAAAGCGATTATGAGAAAAGGAACCGACTCAGTACCCTGTGCGCTGAGGACTCTCAGTATGGCCTTTCTCTAGGCGCAACCACCAAGGACCCTGAGTGCTGGCATGTTTGTTGCCCCATGACTGACTGTTCTGTTCACCTCGATACCTGAGCTCAAAGTGCATCGGCTGATGGTGGCAGCAGGGACGAGGACCTGGAACCCCCTTCCCTGGCTGGTGGTAAGTGGTCAAGAACTAAGTGAGGAGGCCAGGCTCTTCCAACCTCATCTCAAGGGTCTGGCCACAGCAAGTGTGGGGTGGTGATGGGCAACAAGGGAGTTGAGGAGGGGGAGAGCAGCACCCCTTGATAAAGGTGGGGAGAAGGGAAGCTCTGAATTCCTCACCCACGGCCAATTTTAGAGGGAGGGGAGGGTTACAATCTAAGCTTTGGCCAAGGGCAAGAGTGGGGTAGCAGAAGGGGGGCAATGGCTTGGATGGGGCATCACTTAAGACTTAAGAAAGCAGGGATGAAGCCAAAGCACCCCCAAGCCCAGAAGTAGTCCCACGGCTGCTACCTGAAGCCTTCCCATCTACTCTAAGGCTACCACACAGCTGTGGCAGGAGGTTGGGGCAGGCAAAGGCAGACCCAGGGCATGTGTCAGCAGCAGGTGAATTGTGTGACATGTCTATTCACAGTTGAATTAGCTGTGCCCACTCCTCCCAAAGGAAACTGATTTCAACACACATTCTTGATCCCAGAAGTTCAAGTAGGCAGCCAGCGATTACATCGGACAAAGGTTACACAGCACAACTTAGGTATTTCAAATGGACAAGAAATCAGGATGAAGGCCTAGTGCAGCTTCCTCTCCAGTACTTTTAAGATCTACTACAACATGAATCTAGAAAATTCACTGCTGTGGAAAATGAAGACTTAGGTTGAATTGGGGAAGGGAGGCTGGGGCCTTGGTGACTAATGGCTGAAACACTGTCCTTCTGGCAGCTGTGGCAGTTTCATGTTCTCTTTTGACATCATCAGGCGCCAAAGCTCCTGCAGGATGACTTTGATGCTGTGGGAATTCTGCCACTTTGCCAGCACTGCCGTGGCCCTTGGACCCACTCTTGGAGGCTCAATTATCATCCCTGTTCATCTTTTTTTATGTATTCATCGTCCTCTAGATCCCAGCTAACTGTGCCATTGCCGACTCCTTTTTGGCCTTCTTTCATCTCTTCCAACAGTTGGAAATTTCGAGGGACTTTTACTCCCGAGCCTATGGTGGCTTCCATCTTGTGTTGTTGTCGCTCCAAAATAATTCTTTACTTACCTTGAAAGGACAATACTCAACTTCAATTGGGAAAACAAAATAACACAGGATACCTAAAACAATCCTGTATAAAAAAACAACCTCCAGAGGTCATCACCATCCATTATTTCAAGATCTTCTACAGACTTACAGTAATAAAAACTGCATGGTTTTGGAATTAAAACAGACAGGCTGATTGGTGGAATTGAATCAAAGACCCAAATATAAATTCATACATTTAAGGACATTTGATTTTTGATAAAGAAGGCAGAAATACACAATGAAAAAAAGAAAGCATCTTCAACAAATGAATCTTATCTAACTGGATATCAGCATATCAAAAAATGCAAATAGATGCATATCTTCCATCATGCACAAAACTGGGTTCCAAGTGTAATAAAGACCTCAATATAAAACCAATAGATACACAGAACCTAATAGAAGAGAAAATGTGAAATAGTCTTGAATGCATTGACACAGGAGACAACTTCCTGAAGAGAAGACCAATAGTGAAGGTACTAAGAGCAACAATCAATAAATGAGACTTCAAGAAATTGAAAATCTTCTGTAAGACAAAGGACACTGTCAACAGGACAAAACAGCAGCCTGCAGAATGGGGAAAGATTTTCACCAACTCCACATCTGAAGATTCTTTAATATTGATGTAGCTTTTATTCTTTCTTCCTTTCTTTTTTTTCATTTTTTCTTATGGGAGGTTCAGTTCATGACATGTACTCTCTCTCTCTCTCTACTTGTTAACTTGTATTTGCTTTCATTTTCACATCATGCATCTAGCAACCTCACCAGAATCCTAATGATCTTGTGCTAAAACTAAAAGCATGGGTCAAAATGGACCTTCCTTGGCTTCCTAAGTAGAATGTCTTTGATATTTCATTATAATAATGTAAAGCAGACTAAAACATGGATCAAATATCAGAGCAGAGGCATCGTATGTTCCAGCAAGTAACCTGTTCCAAAGACTAAGGATTCATGCATCTACTTCTACTATTTAGTTACATGATACCAGCACAGGACCAAAATGTTGTTCAGATGCCTCATTGTTGAGATGGCACAGTATCTGTTGTCTCCTTCCCCAGGAATTTCAAATAGATACTTGGAGTCTGCTCTGTGGTTTCCACACAATGGAAACCTCCCACTCAAAGGGGTCTTCAATAAGTCAGTCATCTATTCCCACATAACAAATTGTCTTCAAATGAAACTATCTAATATAATATCCAGTGGAATTTTAATTAAATAGATATGACTCTTGGTCTCTCATGAGCTGCAATCATCTCAAGTCTGAAGAATGTACTCTGAAGTAATAATAAGTGGTTTTGGGCACGGGCCCACTTCTCTTGACATTGAGTACAGACCACTTTCTTATCATACCGGCACCTGTACAGAAGACTTTTTGTCCTTGAGCATGACCTGGATTCCTAAAGAAGAAGTAATTCTAGACAGACAGATAAACTAAAGATGGAAGTAATGATATTTTATAACTTAATCTCTGCTGTATATTGGTTACACTGGATAAACTTAATATATAAACTTAACATAGTATTAGAGGGGAGTAAACAAGGTGAAGAATACCAGAAAGCTGAGATAATCAGTAGCTATTTTAAGAGCTGGCTACAAAAGTTCCCTTTTATCTTGACTAGATGATAAACTAAACTCACAGCATTTAGGGGCTATTTTGAGGGAAAATTACTCAACATCATTGTATAAACTGATAAGGGCCATGATATAAAGAATGAAAAATGCTAAGGGGATTCACTGGGGGCTTATACATAAAGACTAAATGGGAAATTATTCCATTAGTTTCCTTTATTACAAAGGTACATTTACCTTAGCAGAGGACAGGTAAGCATGCAAAGGAACAAGGCCTAGGTGAAGTGTGTGAATGCATGTGTCATGCACATATGTCAGCACTTCCATGGTGAACATTTGAAACACATCTTACAGATTATTTCATGAATAGCTAACATATGAACTATGGTTATTTTCTACAAATTCACTGGCAAAGCAAAACTATTTTATAGTGCTTGCATTGACATCTACTTCAAGGTACCATAATTTTAAATGTCCACATGAGTTAGAATCTGATACCAATTTAGACACTTTAGACAGCTCCTATGCCCTTTACATGCATTTTCTTTTCCATGAAATTCTGTTCTCTCTCAGCTCTATGGTCTTTTTTCTTTAAGCTAAAATGATATTCATGTCACCCTTTTCTATGATTTTTTCTGGTTTCTGAAATGAAAGCTGATTGCTAGCACTTATACATCTCTTGTCTTATACTAATGCAGTTAAACATAAATCAGACTCTAATTAAGGGTGTATTCATTTAAGGAATGGAAGCCATATCTACTGTCCCTGAACATCCAGCAGACTCCTTGAAATAAGCAAGTTTTAGAGGTGGAAAATAATGTTATCTAAGTTTTTGTAAAGGGAAGAGAATGCAGAAGTGTTACACATAAGAAAGCTTGTGGAAATAGAAGACATACTTCCAATATATTCAGTGATTTTACAGTAATAATGCCAGTGACACTAATATTTGTTTCATGATTGTAGACACTAGAACATAATTTTGTAGCCAAAAAGAATTAGGTGTGTTACTTTCCACTTAATGAGGCAACTCAGGATTTCCACTTGATACTTGATATTTAGTGTCTAATAGTTCCAAGAACTGTAAACTCAACAGGAAAGTGTTAAATTACACCAACATTAAAAGTGATTTTGGTATAGGAAGCAAATTAAAATGAAACAGTTCATCTCCAAGTCTTTGCTGGTATAGGAAAATTATTTGGAATAAAATGTTTTCTCAGATTCAAAATGCAATAAAACTCCATTCATTTATTCCCTATTTCTTAGGGTTAAGCCTACTATTTTCTCTCACAATACTTACCCTCTAGCTGACTGTCTATCAGCAGCAGAATTCCTGAACCTCTCTGCAAGTAGCAGTACAACTAAAGTTTTTAATAAGTGGGAAAATTTTAGCACTTTATATAACAAATCCAGGCAATATTTACTTATGTGTTATCTAGAGAATTTATTATTTACAGTTCCTGCTGTTTTGCAAAAAGAAGGAAGAAAAATTTGCTCTCTGTTCCAGGACTTTGGAAACAACAGAGTTTTGTTTGGATAACAGTCAGGGAGTTAGCCACATTAATAAGTACTCTCTTATGTTGACATATGGCCTCCATGCAGCCATAGGTTTCAAAATGTGCATATTATGAGTTTACTCTAAATGAGAAGAATCTAAGTAGGAGTGATACTTGTACTCTACAGGAAGGAACCAGGAAAATTCTGAGAAAGAAATCAGGGAACTGGGGGTTACACTAATCAATTGAGGCAGTAAATATCAAGCACTGAACTATATTTAACAAATGATACTCGGTACATCCATTTGAAAATAATACAGCAGATGAGAACAGAAATAAAATAGATTGGAATTTGTTCTCTGAAAACAAATTGCATATAGGAACCACAAATTAGTTTGGTATAAAATAAACAAGGCTAAAGCCCCAAGAGTACTGATTGAAAACAAGAAATATCAATGTAAGAATGTAATGGCAGAATCCAGCTGCTGCTCAGGCCACAATACATGAAGCAGCCTTTCCCTTTTCACAGATACTGACAGGCACTCTGCTGAAATGTAGTGAATCCCAAGCTAGCACACTCTCAGGTACTGGAATATCTCATCTGGGAAAGTGAACTGACACCAAAGAGATTGTGGTGGCCACAAATCTTGATTCCTACTCCCTTCCATGCCTGCTTCCTGGGAATCATAGAGCTTAGCTAGCTATAAGCTTGTGCCATAAAATGCCCCCTCTCCTCAGAAAGGAATAAGAAAAGATTCCCATTTCTGCCCCTTCTATCAGGGGAGGCGTTCTGATTTTTTCTTCTAGTTCCTTTACCTGCCATGCCACTGTCTGATTATTTGTCTGTAGCATTAAAACTCCTAATAAACTGCTACCTGACACAATTCATTTTAGTAACCGCTTTGAATATCCATTTGAGATCTTTCAATCAGCAAAGTACAACCTTGAAAATTACTCTCTCAAGATTCCTTGAATCTTGTAAAGAGTTATTTCAGAACTAGCAGTGTTCTCTAGGGCAACTAAAATTCCTTAAGCATTTAAATCGAGAGATTGAGAGCTCATGGCAATCAAAACCAACTATAAGAGCACATTGATATTTTTAACTAGACAGTTGCAGAGGTGAAGGGAACTCTTCTCTCAGTTTCTTGAAGATTCCACTGAGCCTGCTGAAATAAACTAATCACAGACATATTAACAGAATTAAGGGCATATAAATTTATTATATACATCGAAGAGTCACATTAAAGAAAGACCTTAGTAATTCAATAATATTTAGGAATTTATAGACCATATTATAGGAAAATGCATTAGACTTGGTAGAAACATGAATTTGCATTTACCTTGCATTTAGAGGCTATAGTAGAAGTAGAACAGCCATCTGAATAGTAACTTGACAGAAAAGATTGCTTAGCTTCCTTTGTAAACAAAGAAGGTAAAAGCATTGCCTAGCTTATCTTCTTAATCCCTTTTCATATGGCATTATAAATTACAAAGAGAGGCATCTGTAGCATCCCTCCTCTCAGCTAACATAAATTGTGTTGTCTGAAAACAGTCTAAGATTTCTATTACCCCTGGATTGATCAGACTTTCATTGAGGAATAGGAGTGGAGAAAAGAGAGAGGGGGTAAGAAAAGTCCATCCTAAGAAGAAATCTTCAAGAGGCAGGGTGATTTTCCTTCCATTGTCCCATAATAGTTCTCCATATCTACACCCAGGTCCTAGATGGAGGTTTGTGACAGAAATGGATACTCATTTTTCCCCAAGAACAGTCTTGAATAAATCAATTTTCTTCCAACAGTCTGGGTTTTTGTTTGTTTGTTTGTGTTTTATTTTCCAGGTTTTTTTCCTTGTTTGGTTGGTTTTTTGGTATAGTCGAGAAACA